GCTAACAAAACCGGGGTGACAAAAGGATTCAGAGAGTTGTACCGAGACTCAACAGATTTCTTTTTCGGATAAAAAAGAAATGTACGAAGCTGTGTTTAAAAAGCAATATGATTCAAGAGGAACTTAAGCCGGAGTGAAAACAGTCGTGATATTTCCAGTGACACAGGCGTTGTTTCCCCCCCCCCGACATAGCAGTGTTCAATTTTCACCTCCATCTGTGTGATTATTAATCAGATCACACATCAATTGCCAGAACCAGCAAAGAAATTCAGCCTGTAATAAAACTGTCATGTGCTGTGGTATAAAGACAGATGTTGCCAGTTGTGTGATAACATAATTAAACTGTTCAGTGAGGGATTCCATAAAATTATTCAAATTGGACGAGCACTATCATTTTACCAATAAAGCAATTTAGGGCAATATGCAGTGTCATAACACTGATGTTATCCTCTCCGCCAGATTTTCCAATAAGTTGGAGCCGGTGCTGGGCCTCCTGTGACAATATGAACAGGATATATGAAGATACCTGAGAGCTGGGAGAGACGGAGGAGCGTGTGCGCAGGGGGACTCGGACGCTCTGCGGACGCACGCTTGCACGACCTGTATACGCGCGAGTGGGTTAGACGGCGAGCGCACGTTCAAAACGGATAACGCACCGATATCAGTCAAGAAGCACCCGGAGCAAAGACGGAGTTATTACACGTGTCAAATAGTCAGCGCTGCGCAGGTGTAGGAATTCCGCAGTGGAGCAAAACACGGAGACACTGGCAGGAGTTCAGTTCAAAAAGCGTGGTGAAACACCATATTTTAATCTGAGCGTAGCACTCTCACTCTTACACTCTCTTGCCCTCAGCTCTGCGGCAGAGTGCATGCAATTAGCTGAGATCTGAGACAGTGAATGCTCTCTGGCCTCCACACTGACCTGAGGCTGTTACACCCCCCCCTCAGTCCAGTCTGACCATCAGCCCATAACGTGGTACTGGATGCCATAAACAAGCGGGCCGTGCGCCTTTGGCCCTCCATTTATGTCCGAGCCACGCATGTGTTTATATGTGTACTGCACACCTGCGTGTGTGTCTCTGGGTGTCCCGAGTGCTCGTCATAGAGCACGCCCCCCCCCAAAGCCGAGCTCGGCGACGGTGGCAAAGACGTGCATTTCCACCTTCTCAAGCCTCCACGAGGGGCCGTGTAAGCCCTGCATTATGCAAACAGGAAACCTGCGCCCGCTCAGCTCTTTCTGTGGCCACCGTTCTGCGTGTCACTCTCTCCTCTCTGCAACACGCAACGCGACGGACACCTCAACCATGCGGGCAGAGAGGAGGAGGAACAGTGGAGACATAATTGGCTGGCCTTATCTTGCGATACGTAACAAAGATTTAAAAAGGCGCTTGATGGACAAAGCAAGACTTTATGGATGTGTGTGCAATAAAAGAAGATTATTCATCCCCCTGTTTTGTTTCTTATTCTGTTGAGATGCCGTTGGGTTGATCTGCACAGCATCGCTGAGAGGAAGAGGCAGCCGGGTGTTTTAGAAATCTCTCCAGCTTGATTAAAAGGGCTCTTCTAAAAGACAGGAAATTAATATTTTATGCTCGGTTGTATCAGTTGAACCAAATATCAAGTGAAGGAATGTATTGCACGGTTAAACGTGTGAGATGTTATGAATGCTTTGCAGAAATTGACCGAATATATCACAGGAGGAATGCGTGTCGAGAGGTTGCTGAAGACAGCAGCTGCAAAGTGAACGCAGAGTCCCCCCCCCCCCACCCCCCCACGTCGTTGTTGTCACCGTGTGTTTGTTCGACTGCCACGGCAACACAGCTTCCTGTTGCAAAATCATTTCAATCACAAAACAGGTTGTTGCACAAACACCCCTCTTTCATGCTGTTGTTTGTGTTGTGTTCGCTCTCCTGCAGTATCTTCACTTCCTCATGAGGATAACGTTAAAACCACAACTTCTACAAAAAACACACACAGAGAGAATAAACACACTCGGGTTTTGGGGCAAAAGAAAACAACACATATGTTATGAAAAAAAGATGCCATATTCATGCATCTAAAAAAAGGAGATGCTCATATATTATACACAAGCAGCTGCAGACAACTGAGCGCAGGCTGGAGAAAAAAAAGAAAACTACAGGACGCACAACAAAAGGTTTATAAGCAACTAACCGGTTACGACACAACCGATATCACTTTGAGTTCCTCAAAAAGTGAAATGTGCGTCGCTTCCACAGCAGAGGAAAGAAGAGAGACCTTCTTCTCATCCTCCCTTCTGAACAAACAATATTTGACTTACTAATAGAGATGCTTAAATCAAGCTTATGGTCCACTTCCCCCAAATCTGACTAGTCCACAAGATGAATTCCCCTGTCAGGATCAAGATGATCAAACAGATTACAATTATTTCATCCCCCATCTTTATTAATGAGGACTGTCTTTCATAGTTATGTTCCCTAATAAGAATAAATGATATGCCACTGCCAGGTTTGTTGTTGCCCGCTCACTCAGGGGACTCTCGCACATTTGCGCTTTGAGTCGGGGGAAGATTTTTAGATTGATTTCTGCATCACCTAAAGGGTGGGTGGGGGGGGGATGGTAATAGCATCTTGGATGTTGTGGAGAACAAAGAATGCAGCAAAAAACTTCGGTGTGTCAGTTAGAAGCGTATTAGTGCGAGCTGCAAATAAAAAAACTTAAAAGACAGACTGTGAAATGCCACAAAAGTAAAAAAGTTATCAAGTAATTGAGCGGAGATCGTAATGCCCCGGGGACAATTAACATGGTTCATGGTGCATGAGTGAAAATCCCGGGTTAGTCTAATGGGAGAATAAAAAGACTGCCTGCCTTTTCCCAGTAACACTACCCCTGGTAAGTAGCCTATCAGAGCCCAGCGCCGGGGAGCCGTGAGTGAGACGTCTCTCTCCTCCGTCCCCATCCGTGTGCCATTTATCACACGCAACAATTAATACGCCTCCCTTCTGTTTCAGCTCCAACCGCGGGCCACGGAAATTAACCGCTGGATTTGTTCAAAAAGGCGTGAAGCAAAAAAAATAGCGCTCGCTATTTACCGCGGCAGAGAGCGGAGGGCAGAAAAATGCGACTGTATTGGGGAAGGAGAGAGCTGCTCGTCTCGCCTTCCTTTTAAATGCCAGGGCAGGTCCTGCAGAGTAATAGCTCTTTCTGGATGACTAGCAAACAGGGGCCACGGCTGGCTCGAGTCTGGCGGGGGGGGGGCGGCTTTATTTCCATCCCTTCTTGGTGTCAAGTGCACATCCATGACACTCTTCTCTCTCCCCCTCTGTCTCTGTGTCTCTCTCTCTCTCCCCCCCCTGTGTCAATTCATCAAACAGTTGTAACCCGGTTGTCCTCGCGGAGCGAATCAGAATGTGCCCCCTGGCTGAAGCACGAAGGGAAAAGTCAACAGGAATTAAGTTTCAGCGCAACTGTTTACTCAACTGTGGCCCGGCAGTTATTGAAATCTTATCCATGGTTTTGTGTGAGTACTGCGGTAATGAATTCAGTATGGCTGTGATTTTCTCCCTGACGACATGCTCATTTTGAGCTGGAAAGAGAATAAAAGACGAGTGGGAGGTGGGAGTCTGGTAAGGCCCGAAGAACTAAAGCACTGAGAGCGAGGAGCGCGCTGACAAAAACGTCTTCTAATCACTGACCGGGCTTCTTCCCTCCGACACTGTCCCGCTTAATACCCAGAACAAAACGTGATTAACGGAGGCGCTCAGCACGTATTTCTGAGATGACGGCATCTTGGCCTGCGCTACATGTTTGCCCCTCGTACATCTCTCTAGTCTACAATGAAAGAAAAAGCCCGGGTAAAGAGGGGGAAATAATTAAAACATATGACTAATCACAATGTAAAAGTAATCACTTATGAGGTCATGTTACTTACTATTCAAGTGATACACTTGAAAATTAATGATTTTTCCTTATGATAAAACGTACCGCATGTGCACAAGCGATTATCGCTGCGTTGACCCGCGTATTACATCAAGTGAGATGTCACAACGCTGAGCTGTTTGTGAGGAATGCGTCGTACTCTGGAATGAGATATGAACGAACCGGCTGGTTATCATCAGTTCCGACAACAGAGCCGAGCATCCCGAGCGTCACAATATCCCATCGTCCCCGATTGTCATGACAATTCTGCTGAGAGATGGTGACTGATAATGGCGAATTATCGCCCTCGCCTCTATATGTTTCACTGCCGTGTCTCTCCGGCGCTCTGCGCTGCAGCGTTGGTTGTCCCTCCCCGTGCAGACGCTGATGGATGTGCTGCGACAGCAGACGGCGGCCGCGCGGAGCCCGTGCATCGTCGCCAAACGGCTCCTGACAACGGCCCCGGCCCGTCCTGTCGGATAGACCGAGATAGCACAAGACACGCTGATCTTTTCAATGTTGTTTCCTTAAACACGCTGTCGCGCGCCACGCATAACGCTGACACCGACAGAAAGAGCTTGTCCGTTTGCCTCACGTCTGAGGTGGCGGAAAAATGTTTTTTCCGGGCTTCCAAAGCGGCAAGAGTGCGGCATTAGCCGTGCGTCGCGAGGTGTGTTTACAAGCGAGCGGGGGAGAACGCCGTCATCCTATTGGATGTCGCGGTTTCTTAACTGTCCTCGAAATCCCGCGGCACCTACGTGCTTAAAATGTGTCAGAACGCCGCGATAAATATTTCACCACAATGCAGATGCTGCATGCTACGATAAACACGTTCCAAACACCAAACACAATCACACACTCTCACACACACACACACACACACACACACACACACACACACACAGAGAAAGAGCACTTCCCCTCCTTTAAATATTCAGAAAGGGCCTCAATATACATAAATAATAATAATAATGTGTTTATGTACTAGATGTACTTTGAGGTGGAATTAAATATTAAGTGGCACTTTAAGAGGGGAGGAGAAGCCTGCTGTTGACGTGGCTTAATAAAGCGGAGACAGGTGCGAAAGGGTCGGACTGGCCTACCTGGTGCTGCTGGAACTGCAGGAGGTCAGCGGCGGTCACCTCCACCGACGGCGTGGCGCTGTTGGGTCGCCCCTCCCTGGGCCCGCCCTCCGGGCCCGAGCCTCCGTTGTGGATGGCCGGTCCGTTGCTGGTCGCCTCCGTCCCAGATTCTTGCATCATGACTTAAAAAAAACCTGAGAGCGAAAAACAGGGACAGGGAGAAGCAGCTGTTAAAACACGCGGGCGATGAGGTCGCGTTTCAACTCCGAGGCCAAAACTATAAACATCTGTCACATCCTTCCCACACGATTTCACTTTTATTGCAGGTTTCCCTGTCGGTCCGTGTGCTTTTTCCCCCCCCGTTTTCTTGTTTGTTTGCTTGTGGCATTCGCAGCGAGGCAAACGCACATGCACACGCTCTCGCAGACCGCTGCTCCGCAGAATAATGAACCGCTCCTTTGTTTTGGCCTTTTCCCGGCACAGATCCTTTGCAGATGACAAGTCCACACTGGGCTGGAGGAGAGAGGGAGCGATACTCGAGTTTTTGTTTGTGTTCTTTGTTATGGGGCGCATGCAGGGGTGCGGTGGAGGGGGTGGTGGGGGGGTTTCTGGGGGTCCGGCGCGCATCGGGAGAGGAACCCAACCTGTGTTGAGTGAGAGCAGAGGAGCCCAAGAAAAACACTGAGCCTCCAAAACAAAACACTTTCTATGGAAATGGATATATTTACTCGCATGGCTCCCAGAAGAACCACGGCAGAATGGCTTTTTAATGGGAAACAGGGCGACTGTGTGAGGCCTGCCAGAGGATCTCCATGAGAAACCTCCGATTCGAGGCCGAGCGAAAACAGTCAAATCCTTCAGGGGCGCTCAATTAACACCAAAATACTGAACATAAATAAACCCCCCTGGAGTTGGTGGGTACAAAAATATTGTCTTTCATAACTTAATGTAACTCAAAGGAACAACATACAAATACAGGCAGTGTACTCGTTCCATGTGATTTCACGGGATGTGAATACACGGCTCACATTTTACAACCTCTGTTCTGCTTTTGGATACACAAAAGCCAGACAGACATGATGGCCCCCCCCTCTCTGTCTCTCTTGGGATGAGTGCCAGTGACGCTGGAGCATATTTTGTGTGTGTGTGTGTGTGTGTGTGTGTGTGTGCCCGTATTCCTCAAATCAGTGGAATGATTTACAGCTATTGTGAGTTGGTCGCAGGCCTCGGCGTCTAGCCTCCCAATTCCGGGGCGGTTAATGAAGCTGACCAAGTCGGGCAGAAGCGAATTAACTTGGCTGATTAATTATTTATATGAAGCAGAATAAATGCCTTTAAAACACCGGGCCTCATCATGAAAGAAGGTGAAAATGGAACTAAACGCAGATTTATGGTGTTGCGTTTAAAGCGTGTAATAGGAGGGGCCGTCGCCGGTTAATATGGGCTCAACTACCCGGGCACCAGTGTCTCCAGAGGTCCAGATCCAAACAAGATACAGACACACACGCGACAGACACCGTGGGGACACACACTCAGGTTGACAGATAGGAAATTGAGGCTGACAAATTGTCACAGAAGAATATTTACGGAGCATAGGTGAGATAATAATCTAGCCATGGCATTATTATAAAAAATAAACAGCTCTGTAATCATAGTTCTGGGACAGTCTCCCAGCTCGGTGTCATCCGTAGCGGTTGTGGACTTCGGTGAGCTGAACCAGAACCAGAACCCAGAGTCCACTATGGTTTACGTCCCCCCACCCCCCCTGTAGAAGCCGTCCTCTCAAGAAGCGTATCCGAGTGAGTCATCCGACACTGTGCCGGTTCAGTTGTGTGTCACGACGCCCCCGCACTCAGGGGCCTGTCTGAGCGGCTTTGGGCCCGGCACTACAGGCCCCACGTTCTCTGGGCCGGGGCTGGAGCCGCCCACCCCACCCCACCCTCCCTCCTCCCCTCTCTCCCTCCAGACAGATGTTGACCCGGCTCACCCCTCCAGTCTGGCGCAGCCTCCCTCCATAATGGGATTTTCTAAACAAGGAGTGAGCAAGAGGAATACTGCGGGATGGGACGCTGCCAGCCACGACTCCATCTACAGGCCTCTGCTCGCACCGGCCCCCCCCTTCACCAATTAGAATCTCGGGGCGAAATTAAATGCCATTTGAAATAAAGCATGGGCTGACGTTATTCACCGCCACTTATTTTTCAAATAAAATGCAGTTTTGTTTTTTCTCCACATACAGAGAAATAAAAGAAGGGCCTGCTTTCTTGCTTTCTTTTTTTTTTCCCAAAGCTACATAAAAGGGAAGAGGGGGGGGAGTAATGGCTATTATACATGCAGAATTTTCCATGCAGAATTTTCATAATTATAACGGAGCGGCGTAAATTTCCAAATGCATGGCATCTCCGAAAGTAATCAGGAGAATGAGCCGCGGGGCTATTTTAATGTATGCAAAACTAGTGACCCACAATAAAGGAGGGAAAAGGCCACAATGAATGCAAAGTAATGCGCGCATGCTTGGAACCGGCACTGATGAGGGGATGGCTAAAATTAACACCCAATTAATTTTCGAATTGACAAACAAATGAAACCCATAAATCTACTTTCTCATTAATTTCAACCACAGAATAATTCAAAGCTGCAATATCGCGAGCGGACAAAAAAATAAATAAATGGAAAATGGGCATTATCCATCATAAATATCAAGAAGATAGGAAAGCGCCTTATTAGAGAGTTGTGCTGATAACAATGTTAATCTGTGAGGAAGTGAGGCAGGGACACGCCGTCATCAGCTGGGGCAACTGGGCCACGTGACTCGGGCCCCCGCGCATGTTTATCTATCTATTTATTTTCCCTTTGCTCAGGGGGATCGCCTCGTCTGCGATGACTCAAAAAAGCTCCAAGAGTTTTCCATCCGTTCAACGAGTACAGATTCAGCTGTAATTATGGGTCAAGTGTCCCGCTAAGAGTAACGGGGTTACAAGCGTATGCGTTCGTGCTCCGAACGCAAACATTTCAACACGAAAAGGAGATGTGAGAAGAGCTTTTTTTTTTCTGAGTTGTTGAAATAGTTTTGAAAATAATCGAAATTATGGAATTTCCAGGAGACGAAAGCACGGCAACAAAAGTTCTTTGCAACAACAGAAACGTCTCTGCTGTTGGTTATTAGATGCCTGTCTGTTCTTTTTCCTTTTTGGAGGGGGTGGGGGGGGTTGCTTGCAAAACAAAACAAATGTTTGGAACAAACACTGAAGAAGAAAAAAAAAGGTCATAGTTTCTGTTTGTTTACAGTCTGTTTTGTGGGGAGTACAGTACAAACAAGAGTCACATGTGTCTCCCACCTGACCAGATAGGTTGAAGGTTAACAACAGCCGGCGGCCAGAGCTCATCAGCCCGGCCTCGCCTCCTACCCCCCCCAACCCAACAGAAACCCAACGCCCCCCCCCCCCCCCTGTCATGCTTGCCTGGAATCCAACAGCTCACACAAGTCAGCAGTGGATTCAAGGTAGGGTCGGCCCCGCGCAGCTGTGCTCTGACCCTCCGCCGTGTTCTGTTTTTCTTTAACGCTCATGACAGTAAAGCCTCGGCGGCCACCTGCTCCGATTCGCCGGGTTCTCACACAGCCCGTGTTTACACGAGCGCACAACAAAAGCACAACATTGTCCCGGGTGGCAGATAAAGACGCGGCGAGGATGAGACAATGGGAAGAGGTTCAACTTAAGAGCTGTTTAGGTTCTGGCCCTGGTCGCTAGACTAGACAGCACACCGGTGTGTACCGATGGTGCAAAAGAAGAAGAAAAAAACAGAACCCTTCTCAAGGTTTTCTTAAAGAGTCTTGTGTTCTGCTGTATTTTGGCTCCTGTTGCGAGGGAAAAGTCAAAAGACCAACACGAGCTGTTAAATAATCCATCACCACGGCCCTTTTCCCTGACAACAAACTACTCCGACAGAAGTAGAAACGGGCCGAAATCCCGCTTTCCCATAACTCTGCTCCTCCAGTCCTTCCACATATCGTCTGCTAAACGAGAGGCCTTATGCGAAACAGGACCGCCTCCGTCGCAAAAAAGACTCAATCGGGACTCGACGACAACTCTGTCCTCTCTCTGCTGAGAGGAGCGAACGGCGGGGATGACATTCTGCCAAAGGAGACTTCACAGTCAGACCAAACAAGCATGTAATCTTGTCATCCACTTCAACCAAGTCACAGATAAGCAGAGCATATCTCCAGACTTCTGTGACAATATGGTACGAGAGCGCACACACACACACACACACACACACCCTGCCACCTCCACCGTTAAAGCCCACATCTTTGCACCAGCCGCTGCGTTCTTCCAGGTTCTTCCCAGCCCTTGTGCGGCGGGTAGAGCGGACCACTCGCGCCGGCAAACAACGCGGCTTGTTTGTTTGATAAGTGATTGCTGCCATGGCTACAGTAAACAGGGGCAGCGGCGGGGTTTGTGTTTATGAACAAACACGCCTCCTCGCAGGAGCCGTTTAATATTGACCAGGTGGAATGATCAGCCGATTTCCTAGGTGACACTCGGAGCAGGACCAGTGTAAACAGGTTGTGGGAGGGGATGGGGGGGGGCTTTAGGGAATCAAGGTCGATGTAGATGCAGCTCCGGGCTAGAATAAACAGCGAGGCAGCAGTCAAGATAAACAAAAAAGTCATTCTTCTGACATTCTGAAGACGCGCTAAAGCTGGCGTGTTGCAGCTGCCGGCGAGACCGAGGACAAAAAACGGCCGACGTGGCCGGTCCGCCCCCCCCGCCCGTTTCCCTTCCAGACCCAACAAACAGCAGCTCCTCACAACAAGCGCAGCGAGGAACTTGTAAAAAAACATGTTAAACATTTACCTTGTTCAATTATTCAGCTGCCGGCTTTGTGGAAATAACAAAAGGATGTCTGAGGTGCTCCGAGAGCAACATCGGGGAAAAAAACAACAACAAACAACAAACAAAAGAGAGAGGGGCTTGGGAGGAATTGAACGGACATAGATCCATCATAAATCAAAGCGCGTGGCTTCGATTACTTGATTTATGTACGACTTCAACGGAACACGAGTTGCTCCAGCTGTTACGTCAAACACGTCATTGTCCAAAAAATCTGTAGTGTGAAAGACGAGGGAGGTAATTGTCGTGTTGGAGACTTTCAAAGCTGCGCGTCACCTTGACCATGAATTTTTCATGAATAC